CCGTTCCAGTTTATCATCTGACCTCGCAGGCTGTTCCAAAGCAGCGTGGTTAGTCACTCAGCCGGTTCACGCAAAGTTCACCAAGAGAGAGAGCTGTTCCCGTTTTTTATATTGTGCAGGATCTTGCACGCACAATTTCTCTACAGTGTGTTATTTGCATGTGCAAGTGAGACTACTGATCATTTGTTTTTGTAGTGCCCAACTACTTTGTTTTTGTGGATCAAATTATTTCAATTAGCATATGTGAGTTGGGTGATTCCTAAGTCGTTTTCTTTTATGTTGGTGGAGGAATTTGAGGGACTAGAAACATATAAGAAAAAAGCGATTCTATGGCATTGTGCAATTTTAGCCACTATATAGGTAATATTGATAGAAAGGAATTCAAGAATATTTGATGATAAACGAGTGTGGATAGAAAGTTTATGACATCACATTTATTTTTGGGTGTCATTGTGGCCTTCTATTTTCTAGGAGTTTGATGATATTCCACTTTTTTGTATCTCGACAAATTGGAGAGTCTCATATGATACATAGTTTTTTATGAGCTAGAATTTGTTTTTTCATAGATGGATATCTTATCCATCCCTATTTTCTTCAATGCATCATTTGTATTATTTTAAATTAATAAAGTTTTCTTGTTTCCAATAAAAAATTGAACTCTTTATTTTTACAGAGTTTAAGTAGAGAGCCGATTAGAGATTAATTGAGTAGGATAAAAAGCCTGACTTGATTCTCTAAAATAGAGAATTGAGTGAGAATAAATAATTTAATATAGATGTTTTAGTGAAGAATGTAGTCTATCTTTTCATTCATTAAAAATAGAAGAGACAGTAAGTCAGTCTCTTTAAATATAAAGAACTTATTAGAACTTAATTTTTAATAATTAATTCTGGAAAATAAAAATAAAAAATCTAATGAAAATGTCATGGGTACGTGTATTTAATTATTTATTATCACTACGGATTATAAACAGATTGGATTTTCCTTCTTAAAAACACCTCAGTCCCTCATCGCCATGAGAGACTCTCTCCTCTTGCTCTTACGGCTGGGATCTGGAACGACATCTCCGGCTGAAATTTCACATTAAATATCTAATCTCCGCATCATTCGTGCTTCCACAAGTGAGTTCCCTTCGACTATTGATTGAAATTTCCAAAAACGTAGTCTCGGTACTTCCAATAGCCCACTTTTTGTTCTATCTTAGCATTATCTGTGTTTTTCTTTTGAACCGGAAGTTGTGTTACTTGAGTTGTGTCAGTTTAGATAAAAACCCAGTTTTGACACATTGCCCACAATGTGTTTGATGAAAGGCGTAAAAGCTATAATCAAATTCTTCCTTGTTGGATCTAATTTTGTGAGATTCACTAGTTCATTTTGATGTAGTTGGATGTTCCAATCCACTTGGGACTTGGGAGTTTAGTTTCATGTATTCTAGTTACGTGTGGACTTTTTTTATTAGTTAGCTTAGGACTTGAAGTCTTATTGGTTGATATCAATGTCCCGTAAGAGTCTTCTTGATAGGAGTGCTATTCTTGATTTTCAAGAACTGTGTGACAGGCCTTTGCTATTGTTTCTTTGCTTTGTCTTCTTGTTTTCTTTTGGATATCTGTGTTGAATTGTTTGTTGTGAGTACTTTGTGCTTGATTAATTTATTTGAGGGCCTACATTCCTTGTAAATAATAATCCAAATATGAAACATAAGTCCACATAGTTCATATCCTTGCTTGAATCGGAACAATATTAAAGGAATCCGGTTTTAGATTAGCATTTAGTAGTTTTTTGTTACTACTATTATATTGTATCTATTGCATGAAACTGTTTTATAGAATTATCATCCTCTGGTTATTCTAAGTACTTAGTGACATGTACTGTGATGATTGATTTGTGGTTCGAAACTGACAGGGTGTACTTTTAGAATGCTTTATTATACATTGTTTTATGTTTATTTTTAATATGTGTATTTTGTTTTATTATTGTGTGTGTTTTGTGTTTTGGTATATTAGTATGTGTGTTTGTTTTGGTATGTTAATGTGTGTGTTTTGATGTATTAGGGTGTGTTTTATTTGGTGTATTAGTATGTATTTTTTCAGTGTACTAGAGGTGTGTGTTGTTGGTGTATCAGTATGTGTATATATCAAAAGTTTTGATTATTTTACTAGTTAATGGGTCTAACCCAACCTATTATAACCCCTTTATTAAGTGAAAATGGTTTGGAGTTTTGCACCGAACCCATCCAACCCGTCCGTTTGTCAACTCTAATTATTACCTGCATATTCATAGCCTAGACATGTAGACAAAAAATTTCATTTTTCTTTGTAGCTTTGCTTGAATTTGCATCTTTGAAGCTATAGGAAGCACGGATACTTCTCGGGGGTGCCGTGGAGGTTATAAGTGTCTTGAATAGTGGACTCAATCACATCCGACCATGTTTTTAACAAAAAACACTGTTAAATTATTAAGAGGAATGTGATTTATTTATTTATTTATTTTTTTGTGTTTTTTATTATGTAACTTGTAGACTATGAATGTTAATAGATATAATGATGTTTGGTGAAAATAGTGGATGTTTATTTTGATAGACTATTAAGAAGTGTGTGATTACTTGATAGTGTTTTCTTATCTTGAAGTTCTTTGGAAAAAGAATTTGGATAAATGATCATTCAGGTGAATTTTCTTGCAAATCCTACTTTGAATCCTTAATTGATAATTCCTCACTTCCGTTATTTCTTCCATCAATTACGATTTTGAGAGTTGATGTTCCTTTAAAGGTGTAAATTTGTGCATGGATAATTGCTAATGGTAAGATTAATGCTAATGATATACTTCAAAGAAGGAGACCTATGATTTGTCTTTTGACACAATGGTGTGTGATGTGTAGAGGAGAATGTGAAAGTGTAGGCCATTTATTCTTGCATTGTCCTATAGCTTTATCTTTTTGGAATAAGTTGTTTGCATTAGTTAGCATTTGTTGGGTGGCTTAGAGATCTATGTCATCTATGTTTTGTTTAGATTTTTAAGGTTTAGGAGGAAACAAAAAAGGAAAAACACTTTTGCATTGTACCTTTTTTGCCATTATTTGGGTTTTATAGATGGAAAGAAATGCAATAATTTTTTAAGATAAATTAGAGAAAGTTGATGATTTGTGGAATCAATTTTTTTTCTTGGCCTTTTTTTTGGCATCCGTGACTAAGGATTTTGAAGATGAGCCACTCTTTGGTATAACAAGAAGTTGGACAAACATTGTGTGGGCTGTAATCTACTGTTAATACAATTGTTTATGATTCTTGTTTTGTTCATTACAATCGTTGGGGGTGGATGACTTGTCCACCTTATTGGTTCTTGTAATACATTTTTATTTCTATTATTAATAATATTGACGTTTCTTATCAATTTTTTTTGGATCTATTTCAAAATTTTAATTTTGATCAAAAAATTAATATTTTATAGGTCTTATTATTAATATTGTTATAAAATATTCTTTGTTTTTAATATATTATAATTTTATTATTATCTATAAAATATATAATATTATTTTAATTAGTTGTATCCTTGCCATACCGTGTCTTATATTTTTTGAACTTAATTGTATTCCTGTGTTTGTATCGTATCGGATGAATATGTGCTTTTAATCTACTTATAATTAAGCTTTGAACCTAAGAAACACGAATACTCATCAGGGGGTTGCCGTGGCAGTGTCGGATACGTGTCCTACACTTGTAGAAGTGTCCTGAACATTGACTTTGATTTTTTTTGGTCGAATACCTAAGGGACACGACAAGGAATATGCGGAGTATTTTTTGTTATTTTAAAAACTTAGGTGGCCGAAATGAAAAAAAAAAGGGTTTCATATGTTATTTGGCTTAAAAAGAAAAAACTAAAGGGAAAAAGCATGCGGCATTGTGAACGACCAATTCGTGTGTGTGTGTGTGTGAGAGAGAGAGAGAGAGAGAGAGAGAGAAAGAGAGAGGAGAGAAGAGAAGAGGAGAACGATCGAGAGGACTAGAGAAGGAGAAGGAGAAGGAGAAGAAGAAGGAGAGGAAAGAGGAAGGGAGACTAACCTGCGACTGCAACTGCGAGTGCGATGCGACCTGCGATTAACAGGTTCTGCTTGCCTCAATTTTTTTTTTTTCCAGATTTGCTACTGCTGCTCTTACCTTTTCTAGTCTGTATGGAGTTTGGACTTTCAAAAAATTTGATTATGTTAATTTGATTGGGTTAGGATTTTAGGGTTTTTAAAATTTGGGAATTTTAGGGTTTTTAATATTCTTGTTGTGTTGCTGCCTTTAGGGTTTTTTTTTTTTTTTGGATCTGGTGCTGTGTGCTGCTGCCTGCGAGTGCTGGTTTTAAATACTGCAAATTGCTTTCTGTGCTGCCTGCTGGTTTTTTTTTTTGGTCTTGGTCATCTATGCTGCTGCCTGCTGATTTTCTGTGCTGCCTGCTGGTATTTTTTTTTTGGTCATGGTTATCTATGCTGCCGCCTGCTGATTTAAGTAATGTTTGCTATGTCTTCGTTGTTTGTTATTATTAATGTTGTAATATATAAAAAAATATATAATTATTTTAACTAGCCGTATCCTCGCTCTACCCATATCCTATATTTTGGGATTTTGCTGTCTCGCCATGGCCATATTGTATTGGATACGATACTCGTGTCCGTATCCGTGCTTCTTAGCTTTGAACATAATTAAATCAAGTAAAACCATGTCATACTAATAGCTTCTTGTAATTAAATCCTATAAGATAGTTGTATAACATCCACAGCCATAATCAGTTAGTTTTTACATAATATACAAACTTGAGAATTGGTAGGCTGGTTTGTTGAAATTCCTATGCTTAAAACATTAAATAACAGAAAATTTAAGGAGATTACAGATTAGCTATAAATACTGTTTCAGTTTTGTAAGTATCTATCGCTAATTATGTATTTTGGATGCGTAACAGTTAGAAGAAACAAAATTTCAATTTGTTTTGAGGAAACTAATTGTTTTTTCTTATCCTAGACAGTAAAAATGAAAGAAGAAGAAGTAAACAGATGTCAGATTCAGGAGTGGTTCCCTAAATTCAAATCAGTCTCCATCAAAACCGTAATTCAGGAACTCCCAGAAGCCTTCATCCAGTATCTTCTTGATGATTCTGGTCCCTTTCTTCTTCCCCTTTCCATTTCAAACGATGATGCCCTACCCAATAGAATTCATAAGCCTGAAGAGGAAGAGGATTACGTCGTATCAGAAGGATCTGAAGATGAATCAGAACGAGCTTCACCACCCCCTTGTTTCCCAGAACTGGAACTGAAAATCAAGGAAGCAATTGAATCTCTTGGGGGTTCTGTATTCCCTAAGCTGAATTGGAGTGCACCTAAGGACTCAGCTTGGATCAGTTCGACCGGGAACCTAAAATGCACCTCTTTCAGCGAGATTGCACTTTTGTTTCGGTCATCTGACTCGCTGATCCATGATCTGTGTCATGCATATGATTCATGTATTGATAAGACGGGATCAAGACCCTTGAATTTCTTCCTTGCCCTTCGCAAATGGTATCCTTCTCTACGGCCAGAGATGGAATTCCGTTGCTTTGTGTGGAATCATGTACTAGTGGGGATTTCCCAACGTGAGGTCACTAGTTTTTATCCCGCACTTCTTGAGAAGAAAAGCATTCTGGAAGCTATGATTTTGGATTTTTTTGAGGAAAATGTAAGGATGAGGTTTGAATCAGAAAATTACACGTTTGATGTTTATGTCAACAAGGATGGGCGAGTTAAGCTGTTGGATTTCAACCCTTGGGGTGCATTTACATTGCCTCTGTTGTTCACTTGGGAGGAATTGGAGCAGAATTATAAGGAAGAGGGGAATGATTTGGAGTTTAGAATCGTAGATAGCCAATGTGGAGTACGGCCAAGTTTGAAGACTGCAGTTCCTTATGATTACTTGGATACCAGTGCTGGGAGTGGTTGGGATCAATTTCTAAGGAATGCAGATGAGGAGTTGCGGTGGCAGACTGAAGCTGCTGAAGCAGGTGCTTAAGTATTTGATTCTATGAGGTTAGTAACTAAGTTATACTCATGTCCTTAACATTTTCTTCCAAATGATTGGTAAAATTTTTTATTCTGGTATTTCTCATTCTAGTCACTCTGCAAAACCTTCTAGCATTATGATAAAATGGCATTTTCTGCTCAGTTTGCCTTTTTTTTTTGTTTTGCTATTAATTAACTAGCTAACCCCAAATAGTTGGGATTAAGGCTACGTTGAGTTAAGTTGTATTAGTTGACTGATTTTGTGGCTCTTTTGACACCTTTTGTGATTTGCTCCATGATTTCATAGTAGATGGGTATAAGAAGTGATTGCTCAACGATTAATATGGGAAGAGCTCAGGCTTTTTGACTAGCCCAGACAAGTGGATTATGTTTGGGGGAAGTGCAAGTGTCAAGGTGTTGGCTAAAAGGATTATATTGAAAGGGTTCTTTGTCATTTCAATAAAATGCAAATTGGTGGTTTCTCATCTTTTTTCTTGATCTCACTAGTCCAATCGATTATTGCACTCCGGTCATTTTATGAGCACTTCTGCAGCCAAGCAATGCTCATTGCCAATATTGACTTCAAGCAAATAATCCAGTATTGTCAATAAAATGGTGATAGCCTTACTACTTTGTATTGAACTGCTAGCACAGTGGTTGTGGCTGTGATGTTGCTTTGGTTAAAGACAGGAAAGGAGTTGAATCAATTACCGGGGATAGCACGTCTATCCACACAGATATTGCTTTCCAGAATTTTAGACAAATCTGTCTGATGTCAAAAGCAGGGGTAGGTACACTGGGTCAGTGATTAAAATTCAGGTCCTAACCTTGAGCTTTTGTGTTCAAACCCTAAGCGATACGGTTTGTAAAAATAATGCCAACGTTAAATTTGTACTTAATCTACCCCTCCCAGACCCCATTAGGGGGACTAAAGTGGTGTTGTTTTTAGTCTGATTTTCTGTAATTGTTGTTGCAGCTTTGAGGTCATGGCTTGCAATGTTTCTAAATATCATGCTCAGCATCTATGTGACCCTCTTTTTCTTCTCCTCTCAGAAAAAGGAAGAAAAGTAAAAAACCTATAGCCCATTTGCTCGCCAGAATAGAGCAATCTTGCCTGATCTGGTGTTGAGCCGAAAATGTGGCTGGAAAAGTCCATTGTAGCTTCAACATGAGGATCTTTTTATTTTTCTGCAGGCTCTTTAGTTAGAATCATTATCTTAGGCTCTTAGCCATAACCTAACCAAGTGTTTTAACCTGGTAAATTCCTTTTTTTACAATGCATGCCTTTTGATTTACTGGCAGTTTGTTTGATATAGTCTGATAGTTTCATTTTTCCTTCAAAGTATACTTTGTTTACAGCATAGTCTGTTTTAGATTTCCGATACGTGGGCATCGGATTGGCTCACATAAGCTTTGAATTTATATGTCTGCAAGATTTGGAGAAGTATGGTATGCAAACCTTTAAATGTAATGAAAACTGATTCTTTTTTCAACTTTTTGGTTATTTTTGCATGCTCATGTTTTCCGTGATAATATATGTATAAGCATTAAGCTCTTACTTATACATTTACTCGATTCTTTTTGAATTGATTTGGTTTATACATCTACAATGTAAAAATGGTTGGATGTTTATTTCTTTTTTCTTTTTGTTTCCTTTCTAGGCGACAAATTATTCAAACATCAGGCCTGCTACGTCTGACATCTCGAATGCATCAGACAAGATTGGGTGAGACTATGGAGGACACGAAAGGCGGTATGTATCGATAATGAGCAATGCTATAAAACCCAAATAAAATTCAAAAACTTGCAACCCAAATGCATATCATCTTTTGGATATATATATCCCATCAACTTTTTTAGTGGAACTCATTCATCCAAGGGATGATATGCATTTGAGTTTTAACTTTTGGGTTATGTAGCATTTTTCATCAATAATACTTCAGGGTAAAATAAGGGGGTTCCAGAGCACTTTAGCAAAACATGTAATTGTTTTTTTTTTTTAATGGAGAATAACTAGACTTCCTATTTAAATCCATGATGGAGGTGTTGCTGACCCCATACTTATTCTCATATAGTTTTATTTCTGCAGTTTGGACTTAATTTACTGGTTGGAAGGAAGACCTCTCTAAATTCTCGAATATAGTTGTTCTCAGGAAACTGTTCAAGTTATTAACATTACAGTGTTGTGGTGTAATTCAAATCTTGTTTGGATGATTTTAATTGATTAATCATACTATGGGGTAGGGAAATAAGAATATTAACTCCTTGTTCATAACAAAAGTTTAGATGCATTCAGGGGGGTGAAGACTTATTGAGCCACTAGTAATGACCCATGCTTAAAGGTACATTGAAACATAAAATTTGAGCATGTAAAAACTCGATCCCATTATATAAAAATAGTAATTTTTCTTTACTTTTTTCAATTATATAATTTGAAATTTAATTTTTACCTATTATTTTTTTAAAAAAAATTACAAAATTTTATCAAAATACAAGACATTAAAAAATACTTAAATGTGTATATTATCGTATATGATAATGTTTGAAATAAAAATTGTATTGATCTACCAGTTAATCAAAATTTAAATGATTCAACTTGTGATAGAATGAGTAACGTGAAGGAAGCGGGTAGAAAAATATGTGGGGATAAAATTTAAAGTGTTAGCTATCTTATTAAATAAATTAATACATACTCTTGGTCTAGGAATTTTTAACATAGTTAAGTGATTCGATATGAAATTGATATATTATTGGGTTGGAGTTGGTTTTAATGAGTTGAGATCATAGACAGGATGATTAAAGAGTGTTGAAATAGAACGAGTGACGTGAAAGAAATGGGTAGAAAAATGTGGGGGTAAAATTTAAAGTGCTAGATTTCTTATTAGATAGATTAATACATTCTCTCGGTCTAGGAATTCTTAACCTAGTTCAGCGAGCGATTCGATATATTATCGTGTAGGAGTTAGTTTTAATGAGTTGAGATTATAGTTAGGACGTGTGAAGAGACCCTCTTAATAAACTGGTCAGTGGGAGTATAATTATACACAATACAAACGTAATTACACTCCATAAATATGGGTTGAGCAAATATTAATAAAATACAATTTAAACACGATATAAATCTAATACGAAACGACCTTCACCAACCCCAGGACAACAATGTCCTGTCGACAAATTGGCTGGATGATGTTCTTTCACTAAGCAACATGACTTACTTGAGATACTTGATGCCAGATTGCTGGTAACAAGCATATTTTTTGGTGGTGTGTTTTTGTTTTCTATTTTTGTTTTTTGGTCTGGATTGCTCCCTTCCTTCAAATTCAATTGCATGTAGATTATTATGCATATAAATAATTTTATTTAAGAGTAATAAAACATAATTTTATGTACCATTTTGTTTTTTAAAGTTAATTATTTGAGCAAAAAAGCAATTTCATCAAAACGTAAAAGCATATGTAATTACTTTTACAAAATTGAGCTAGATTGATTTCAATATATATATATATATAATGAAAGTTAGAATAAGGTATTAAAAACTAACAAGGTAAAAGCAAAAATGAATGTTATTTTTGATGACATTATTTTCTACTTAAAAATCTCTTTCTACCCTTGTCAACAGGGGTGGAGTTAACATTTTATCTTTGTTGGGGGCTAAATATTAGGCAAGAAAATCTTGATCAGCAGAAATTTGAATTTATATTAAACAAGATAATATAGTCACTACAAATTAAGTTACTGATAGAAAAATAAAACAAACAAAAGTAATATTTTTTAATAGATATTTACTCAACTGTCTATTAAAATGGTGCTCGATGTTCTTTTTTATCACCTAATTCGGCTATGATTAAATCCGTATTAAACTTTTTAGTAATCTCTTTTTCTATATATGTGACACCCAAAATTTGGGGTCCGTTGATTATTCATCAATCCGTGGAATATCTGTGGATATCGAATAATTCGATATCTCAACGTTGTGCTTCATTTACCCTGGTCCATCCTTTATTAAAAATTTGGGCAGAGTCTCTAAAGGGAACTCTACTCAAAACACAACCTGTGCATTATATAATAACAAGACCCATCTGAAGTCCAATATTTAACAATGACCACACCGGGTCCATTTATAAGTAAACATTGGTCACACCGGGTCCAATTATCCATACTCATACAAACATGCAAGACTATATTAAAACGGTCCATATAGACTCTATTACAATTCCTTTACACATTACATGTCAAAATTTAATTACAAGTCTAATTTTACAAAAGAAATGGATTGAAAGCCACAAGTTGGTTTTTCTTCCTCCTTAAGTGCCCGAGTGAGTGCCGTCCTTCGGCATATGACCCGTACCTAAAATGTTTCCCGTATAGGGTGAGCCAACGCCCAGTAAGGTATATCCTACAAGGGCTACTCCTTACCTAAGTGCACATGCAATACTCACATTTGACAGTTCATATTCATATCAACATTCTAAGTAAGAATATGCAACTTTATATTGGAATTCACCATGCCATGCAATGAAATGAGATGAAACTCACTCATGCAACTTTAACTCGAGTCCTCACCGACTCCTCCAACACAATGCAACGCATATGTGTAAAACAACGTCTTTGATGAAACACATCCAAAGATCATTTTGAAATCAACCATATGTCATAAACCATTTCATTCTTGGATGTTTCCCATCAAATGAATAATTTATATATCAAAATCATGTGCCTTTATTGGGTATCGGATTCAGGAATCGCACCTCCGGCTCTGTACCCCGTTACACTTTTATGGAATTTCACCGCCAGCAAGTGTATGAACCAAGTGGCCGGATTTTTCACCCGAGGGAGTGTCTAGCTCTACTTGCTATACCCAACACAAGATTTCTTATGCATGTAACCGTGCGACCCAGTAGGACATTCAATCCCACTTTTCTGAGCCCACCCTTCAATCACCTAGAATGATACTTGAATGAATCATGACCAACTCACACACACACACACACCCATACTCAGGATTTATGCCCATGAATGTGATGCCTCTATGCACAATGATACAATGTTCAATATGCTATGAATTACATATGAACAATCTCAACATATCATGGTAAGTTATGTTCTAAGCATATATATATATATATATCATATTTGTCACAAATTCAATATATCATAACATGCATATACCAACAATTACATGTCCAATAATAAATCATGTCATAAGTCCATAATTTCACTTCATAATCATAGGCAAGTGATATCACAACTTTTAGGCTAATAACACACATAATCATTAAGGCATAATATAACACATAACGACCCATGTAATAACCCACGTAACGGCTCTTATCTAAACCACAAAACAACCCATACAAACCACCATATAACAGCTCGTATATAGCCCACAAAATAGCCTAAAAACAGTCCGCAAAAATAGTCCAAGAACAGTCACAATTTCAGCCCAAGAACAGTCACAATTTCAGTCCATAACATGGCCTAAAAATAGTCCATAATTCAGCCCTTTAACAGCCCCTTAAACAGCTCAAATTCAGCCCCTTAACAGTCTCTAATTAGTACACAAAACAACCCTTAATTAGTGCACAAAACAGTCCCAATTTCAGCACCAAAACAGTCCAAAAATAGTCCATTTGGACAGCCCTTGGATAGCCCACATATAAACCAATTTCAGCAACTAAAAGTCCACTTAAGGTAAGAATAAAACTAAGGTAAGAGGAACCCTACCTCAATAGAAGTGTAAGAACTTCTATAACACCAAACCAACCTCAAAGTTTTGATTTTCTCCAAAGTCTTCTCTTGGATCTTCGGTAAAATCTACTCTTTTTGGTACGTACGCGTAACCCTCATCGAGGAGATAAACTTTGGCTCTTGGTCCGAGTTGATTCGAGCGACGGAACTCCGAAAATCGGCGAAGAAAGATTTGTTTTCTCCCTTTTCTCTCCCTCTTGCTCTCACACGTTGGAACCAGCTGAAATGCAGAGATCCTTTTGCAAAATATCTGATTTAGCTCCTATTTATATTTTCCAAGGCTTGGCTCTCGCGCGCCAAGTGTCCCCCACTTGTTCGGGTCCGTTTTTTGCTCCGAAACGATTAAATTTCGTACCGGTTTAAGTTCAAAATATTTTATATGAAATTTATTTAAAATATTTTCCAAATTTTAATTTTTTTTATAAAAATTTCGTTTTTGGGGGTCATGAGACACATGTCACCTCGAAAAACGTGAAAAATCTGACTATCTCGGAATTCGACGAAATTTGTCTGGGTAACTAGATTTCGTGAGACGAATCCAATGGTGAGGTCCGTTTCATCATCCGAGATCTAGAAAAATACCAATTTTTAACCCGCACTATAATGACAAATTACCATTTTACCCCCCTTTTTTTTTGAGAAAAAGTTCAAATTTTTTCCGAGTTTCACAATATATACACAATCAAAGAGTCTGTGAGAAAATCATCGTCCATCTTGTTGCGAAGCCTTGTTTTGATAATATTCATCTATATCTATATTATTAATAAAAGTACACTATCAAGAAAAAATTTTGATTGACTATTTTACCCCTAAAACAAAGTATAAAGACAATACTAGCCTATTTAATGTAAAACTCATATTAATAGGACTTTATTAATACTAAACTTTTACCTGGACAACTTTACTCTCATAATAAAGACAATACTAACATTATTAATACGGAATTTATATTAATACAACTTCATTAATATTACACACATCCAAGCCTTTCATATTATTTCTTTTAAAATATAAAAGTTAACTATTAAAATATTTTTTTTATTTATGTATCTATTTTTATTAGTTGATGACAAGTTTCTAAATTTTCAAATGAAATTGTATAAAGGCACTAAGATCTTATTTAATATAAGATTTATTTTAATATAACTTGGATAATATTATCAAATCCTAACTTTTTATTTTCTTCTCTTTTATGTTTTAGTTTCAATACATCCTTTTTAGTTATGTGTGCTAATATTACAATCCATTTTTATTTTTATCTGTTAACAATGCCACGAATATTCAGTATTACATTAATTTACTTACCACAACTTAACTTCTTAAATTTTCTTAATCAATTGTTTATAATTAGATAACCACCATAACTTAAAACAGTTTCTCTTTAGTATTATTCATAATTTAATAAGTGATCATGATACTTTTTTGTTATATATACTCGAATATCACAAAATATATTTATACCATTACTATGATATTACAAATAAAATTAATCA